TACTAATGAGATATTTTATATTCTTTCATAGTAAGTCTTTGAAATTCATTCTGTATTTTATGTTTATAAAACATCATGATTCAGACTAGCCACATTTCAGTAGACACATGTGGCTTAGTGGCTACCATATTCTAAAGCTCAGAATTGACAAGTTCTGCTTTGTGTCCAGAGTCACTCAAGCTAGGAAGTTGGTAGATTCAATAGTTTTGCTCCCTATTTTGGACTTCTTGTCTTTCTTACTGCATTGACTTACCTGAATGCAGAATTCTCTAGCTTTGGTGTGGCATTTGCAAGGTTTAAGTAGATTTAGGCAGGGAAGTAGCAGAAATAGGAAAGTGAAAGACTTGACTAAAATGAAAATGCTGCAGTAGCTGTGTGGTCACGTTTAGAATTTCTAGGTGACAGCTTCTCATCGAAGCAGGGTTTGCCTTTCTCACAGCGAGGGGTGTATGAGGCTAGATGTGTGGACCTAATTATGGAGAAAGCAAACCAGACCAAAAAAGTTGATGTTATTATAATTCAGGTGCTTTGGCTATGAGGGAAGCAGAGTTTCTGCATTGGGGCAGATAAACAAGAGGACAACGCACCTTCACCTCTGGTTGGGGAACCAACTTACTTTTGAGGGATGACTGGGTGATTCACAATATCCAATTCAGGTGAAATACTCAAGTGTTGGTATGGGGATGAAGTGAGTTGTTGAAGTTGTGCCTCAATGCAAGAAGAATTTAGGGGGCGGTCCTTGGACCTAGGCAGAGCCCCTCTCTTTGGCATCCAGAGATAAGCTTGAGGTTGGTTTGGTGTCTCTGGGCCCACCCATCTTGGTGGTGGGGGGTGTTTTCTGACTCCACACTGACATCCCTGAAGGAGATACTCTGAGCACTCTTGTGGCTTTTTTCTTAAAAAGTTAGTATATGTTACTTTTCAAAACTTGGACTGTTGTTTTTGCTTTTCAGTATTTGTACAGAACTTTGTACTGGTTTTCACAGTTGAGTTTTTTACTTTTGTGTTCTGCCTATTGTCCATATTGACTTTGGTACAGATGGAGACCATAAATAAATATTTGGTTAAAAATTCTGTTTTTTTTTTTTTAGTTTGAATCTTCCGAACTGTGATGGGATGGCTGTGGTGAGGGATATGCTGAGTGAATTAGAATGTTGATTGGAGGGTTTGGGTGAGGCTGTGGCACCACCTTAGGAGCTCTGATCCTAGGGTAAGTTGATAGAGTTGGCTGCATGACAGTGTAAGGGTTTAGTATAATCGTGACCCTGGAGATCTCTAATTCAGGTTGCGTAAGTTCTTTTACTTGTACACTTTCTTTTGCTGGTAACCCATTTTCTTTTTTCAAATACTGATTTTAAAACTTATTATTTCCTCCCAGAGTGATTTAAGAATTTACCTTACAAATCTTATTAAATCTGCTCATTCATTCATTCATTCATTCATGTATTTATTAAATATATTAATATATTAAATATATTCCTCCAGTGTGCAGTTACTTGGTACCAAGTACTGGACTGGGTACTGGAGATTTGAAATCAACAAGACCTTTGTGTTCAGCCTCAAGAAACTCACCACTTAGTGAACTCTTCCTGCATCAGTCCACCCAGACTGGGTCACCATGATATATCCTATGATTCTTCAGTGTTCATGTAATTGGTTTTGTGCTCAATTTGTTGTTTTTATTCCTGGTCTAGTTTCTGATGTGGCATGCCTCCCCTAAAGTGACTAGACATTTTCATTTGTATACCTGTGCTTCTTTATAGATCTTCACAGGACCTGCTGCATTGCACAGAGCGAGGCCTAATACACATTCCTAACCTCTTTTCCAGGATGTATGAAAGGTGTTGGTTGATTATTTTTGCTCATAATAACTGATACTGCCATCAGGGATTTGAGGGTTGTCGGGAATAGTATTCATGGACAACACAACCTCTAGAGTCACTTTATGGACTGTGAATGACCTCTGTTGCCCTTTTTTCACATCAGATACCCCTCAGACACTCTCCTCTGAAAGTACCACGGTATGTGGTGGTGGTTTTTAATGAGACTGTATCTTATGTGGGTATCTTTCCTGTGTGCTGCCTCTGAGTTCTCCTAATGAAGTGCATACATAGTCACTTTCCTTCAGGCTGTCAGTGAGGAATACTGTTACTCAAGTGAATTTCAGTGACCCCTTACTCTAGAGGGAGCCCAGTGTCAGAACAGATTTTTATAATATACTGTTTGCTTTACAGCACTGATAATTTCCTCCTGTGTTTGAGACTGTCGAATAACCACGAGGCTTGTTGTTTCTTAGGACAAAGGTATTTGCAGAGGCACTGATCAAACTATTATTATTAATAATCTCATTACTGAGGCATCACCAGTGCTTTTGTGCATTTGCAGCCACCAAATAGATCAAAGTTTTATCTTGAAGACTCTGGAGGCACACAGGAACAAAGCAGCTTGCGAGTGCAGGGTGCTGGTGTCGAGTCGTTCTTTCCTGGCTAGGGCACATTTGCTTTGGGGAGAACTGTTGCCTCATTTCTGCAGGAATGCAACCCCATCTGGAAAGGGGTTGCCTAAAGGTTGGGTATAGTAGCCCCTGAACTTAGTTGTGATGACGGGCAACCTTTGTTAATGAGATTTTTTTCCCCCAACAAGGGCACTGCATGCTCCTTGAAGGAGAGGACAACAGAAGCTTATTATATCTGTAAACAAAGGCTTTTAGCAAATGAGAAGAGATTTTTTTTTTTTTTTTTTTTTTTTTTTCCCTTTGCTTTGGTGGGAATCAGGAGAAAGAGGGGAATTGTGGTAGGAGGTAGAGAAAAATTCTCCTCCCTATCTCCATATTCATAGCATGAATCTCAGGATAATGGATTCAGTGTACCAATTTTCATTCTCGCACATGTGCTCTGCTTTTCCTGTCTTGGATAGAACATCTAAATGTCTAGAACATTCAGCTGAAGAGGCCAAGGCTGAGTCGCTTCCCATGGGGAACAGTGAAGTAAGTTTGCAGCTCACATCCTGCCTCAGGAAGCTCTGCCCAGGTGGAGCAATCACCCTTCAGTGGTAGGGTTCCCAGATAAAATCCAGTTCAATTTGAATATTAATAAACTGTATATACTTATTTTAGCAGAAATATATCCCAAACATTGGCTAAACCATATATATTAAAAAATAATTTGTCTTCAATCTGAAATTCAAATGGGACTAGGTATCCTGCATTTTTTATTATTTTATTTTATTTTTGCTAAATCTGGCAGCCCTATGTAGGGCAGAAGTGGGAGCTTCAAAATGTTCTCCCTGCCACCTTAGAGCAGCCGTGGATCATCTGTCCATGACCTCAGTCTTCATCTTTGGAGAAGATGATGTCGGTGAACTCTGTTGTTTTTGGAAAACTTCTGGGGTAATACTCCTTCTCTCCCTGTGCGTCAAATTGCCTCTAAATGCTATGTTGTCGTGAATATGGGCATAAGATTGGCCAAGATGGCATCTGTGTAGCTTGACAGGTGAGTTTCAATGTGGAGGCGGCAATGACAGCAGGATGGCTGGGATAGCGTGGACCCTAAAGTGGGGAGACCGCCTGTGCAGGTGTCCTCTCAGTCTCTGTGTCAGTAACTAGTGGAGGACACTGATCAGGGAAGCAGCCCTTAGCCCTGGGTGCACCAATAAGAGACAAACTTGTCCTTCTTTCCCTGTTTCCTTCCAAACCTCATCCCTTCCCTCACTCTCTGTAATTCTTCTGCCTGTGCCCACTCCTGAGTATCTCAATAGTGCACTGAGGATTTGAGACTGCTTCTCATATGTACACAGTATTTACTCTGAGAAATGGTGGGGCCCACAAGGTGAAAGAATGGTTCAAACTGCATCTTCCACAGTGCTCCCTGGTGCAGTGGGCATGCAGTGAGGCCCTGGCTTACTTTCCCTGTTTAGAAACCAACATAATGTTCCAGGCTTTAGGAAATTAAAAACAAAACAAAACTACAAAAAAACCCCTGATGTTTGTGTATTACTTCAAAGTTTAAAAGCAACTCCCAATATAATATTTAATTCTAACAAGTTAGGAATTGTTAAAACACCAGGGCCCTAAGTGACTTGCCTAAGGCCACTGACTGAAGAACTGGTTTTTAATATTCAGTCCAACACATTTTTCACTCTTCAAGGAGGAAGGCAGAGAGGCGAAAGGTATGTGAAATGGTGGGGAGAAAAAAGTGGAACCTGAAGACCGTCCATCTCTGTGTCTCAGTTTTATGAGGATAAGATTTGAGCTCTGGAAGTCTGGCCAGCTCAAGACAGGTCTTAGGGCACAGGAGGGCTGACAGTCTTCTGGGGAGAAACCCCTCAAAGTGGCCTCCCTCGGTGGTTCTGGAGATGCCTCTGCTGTTTGGGGTTCTTTCTCTTATGTCATGTCCCCAGGGGTGTGTGTTTGGGGGTACAGAGCCTGAGCTGAATTTCCAGAGAACAGAGCATAGCTGTCTCTCAGCGTGTGGTTGCTGAGAGAGAACTTGGCCTAGAAGCAGACACTGCAAGGGTGAGAAAGCAACTAAAGGGGGAAGTCCTCCCCCAGGGAGATTCACTGTCTCAGCAGAATTCCTTAACTTTCTCTGGAAAGCTGCATTCAGTAAAATGGGGGAGTCAACTAGCAATGGCCTCTAGGAAAGAAACAGAGGAGGGTGGCTTTTTCTTCCTGGGACCTCAAGCCCTGTGTTACTCACAATCAGTTCTTTGATCCTGACTCTTTCAAGGAAGTATCAAGTTGGAAAACAGATGCTGGACTTGGAAAAGCACAATGGAGTTAATATTTGGCAGGAGATATCCATCTAAGGGCAGTGGTGGAGTGGGCTCAGGGACAAGGTGTGGAGGTCACACAGGTTCTTGGGTGTCAAGACACTCCTTTGGAAAGCCCCCAGGAAGCATTCTCTTTTCCCATAAACTGGCAGTGGGGAAATCCCCACCAGGCACTATAGAAAGCCCTGGGATTCGGAGCAAAAGCCTGCAGCTCCAGCCCAGGGGACAAGATGAGGCCCAGCTCTCCCTGCCTGCTAGCCCTTCTGTTCCTGCTCTGCCCAGCAGGCAGTTCGGAAGATTTGGAGTCCCTGATTCCTGGCCCTGACTCTTTCCCAGGCCCTAACTCCTTCCCAGGCTCCAACTCCATCCCAGGCTCTGACTTCACTTCCAACTTCATCTCGGGCTCCAGGTCCAGCTCCAGCTCTGGCTCTCTGTCCCAGGTGAGAAGTCCCTAAAATGTGAGCGCTGTCTTCATTTCCTCTCACTTCCTTTTGTGAGAATCTGAATATAATTTCACAGACGGCTAAACCTGGGCATTCTAAGAGATTTACAACTCCCTTTTGTCAACTATAGGCATCATGGAGATCATTTAAAACCTGGGCAAAATAACTGAATTGTTAGCAAGAGGGAAGACATCTTGGTTCTCTAGCTGGAGACTTGAAAGAGGTTCTCAAACCTGGCTGCATTGTAGAATTGGGGGCATGTGGGGGTCTCTCTATGTAGAGATATTGGGGTTCTTTCTCTGATAAGACCTGTTAAGGAAGGAGCCCTCCCAGTTGTAGCTCCAGAAGTCTGTTCTGTTGATTTGCTGCTCAGCAGGGACCCTGCGGATGGTGAGGAATGGCCTCCAGGGACTGAGAGCCATAGTGTTCCAGTTGCAGCCCTGACAGTTTCTCTGAGCCTAGTTTGTAAAGATGGGTGACAGAAGTAGGACTCGTGAGGATTTAGGAAAATGCCATTATACACCAACATTCCCCTGGAGGAGTGCTGATTCTTTCATTCTTCCCTAAAGGGAATCTTTAGAGTCATTTCCAGCTCAAAGCAACAATAGCAGTAGAATCAAGCCAACCAGTCGACCAGCCATGCACCAAAGAGGGGACTAGTCCAGCCAGACAACATCACTGGAATGTGCAGTGAGCCCTTCCCTTGGCTCCTCTGTGACTCTTTAAGGAAATGGAAAAAGGCATGGAGGGGTAAGAGGAGAAGGGGTTGGAAACAATTCTTCATTTCATCTCGGCCACATCAACTCTGGGCCTTTCTGTTGGAAGCCAGCTCCACAAAACCTAGGCTTTCTTTGCCACCATCTGACTTGGGGTGGGTGTAGGCAGGTCTCAACTCCCCAAAACCCATGCCTTTGCATTTCTCTCATCTTTACTCACAAGCGAGTCTGCCGCTTCAGTGATAATGTCTGGCCAGTGGGAAGTGGGGAAACAAAGACTTGTGTTTGTTTCATTTCTGCCTTCAGGACTTGATGGGCAGTGCTAGCATATTGATGAGCAAATTGTTGGATAGGGCTCAGGGAGCAACAGCAACAGCAATGTTCACTCACTGAGTCCCTTATAAATGCCAGGATTAGATTAAGTACATATTACATGTTATCTTTTTTTAACTCAAATAGGTAGGTAAAATTAATGATGCTGTTTTAGTGTGAAACTGAGGCTTGGAGGGATGAAATCATGATTAAAGCCATGAAGCTAGCAAGTTATAGAGCTCAAACTTCACCAGCCTATGTTTGTCACTCTCTCTCTGCATGCAGTTTTCTGTATTTGCAGGGAGTAGAGAGGAAAACTACTTATTATAAAGAAAAGAATGGTTTAAGAAGCATGAATATGTACCAAGCTGCTTTGTAGCTAGAAATCAGATAGATCATTTTATTCCATGATAATAAATGATTACTGCAGACAACTAGAGCTGGGTTAGCACTTTTTTTCTCCAGAAAAATGTGGCTAACAAAAATCATTTATTTTGAAGCATCATCACCATTCAGAAACCAACTAAAATGGATAAGATAATCGACTAAAATAATAGAAAATAAGATATAGACCAAGAAACAGAGAAATCCAATGCCTATGGTCTGGTAAGGAGATAAATATTTTTTTTTTTTTTAGATTTATTTTTATTTATTTATACAAGCACTGGGTACAGTCAGAAGCACGGGAGGGTGAGAGAATTCACCAGAGCCAGAGCGGGGAGCAGAGCAGGCAGAAGGACTGAAGTACACTGCTGAGGGGAGCAGCGGGCGGCAGGAGAGGTCTGCGCGCCATGTGGGACCCTCCTCCAGTGGCCGGGGAGCAGCCGGAGATCGAACCGGCACTGCAGAGGCTGCGGGCAGGTTCGCAACCCAGCGCTCAACCGCTTAAGGAGATAAATATTTAAAGGGAGGAATGATAGTTAAATTCTACTTAGAGGTTTGATTTCCTTCGTGCTTTACTTATCTCCCTCTCGTGAGTCAGTAGCACAACTCCAGGTTCTTTTTTTATAGCAGACTAGGTGTCACTTCCATTATAAACCCAATTTTCTAGGGCTGGCTGTCGTCTTGATGAGCTCTTTGGAAAGTGGAGGAAAACCCCTTTATAACTGTCATCGAGCAAGTTCCAAACGTATCATTTTCTGTACTTTGAAAATGTTGAGTACCATTATTTTATGCCGTGAATCTTTACAGGCACTTAGGCTGGGCTGCTAATTAGAGCCACTTGCAACTTAAATCACAAATGTGAGTCTTACCTTCTGCTATAGTGCTCAGAGCACTCTGTGCCTCAGACGTCGCCCTCCAAAGAAGGGGCTTTATCAGGGTCCTCATTTCAAAGATGAGAGAAGGTTCTGTTTGTCACTCCACACGATCACTAGAATACCAGAACTACCAGAAGTCGTGTGCTTTATCATTGGGCTAAGGGGCTTGTTGGGGAAAAAAAGATTTTCATAATGACAGTGGGACTGATTCACTGGGAAGGAATTGAGTTTTATTCATTCCCTAACACCTGAACCTGGGGTATTGTGGACATCAGTAAATACTAGTTGAACACATGCTGAGTGAATGAGAACCTACCAGTATAGTGTGTTTTGTGGGGGTATGCTGACAAATACAGAATCCTATATGCCCTCCGCAAGGGGATCACATATCCTTCCAGAGGCCAAGGAGACAAGCACTTGTCTTTGTCTCCCATTCCCCACATCACACTCATGTAGTTTAAGCATTCACTGCAGAGAGACCCATCACCATTAGCTTCATTGTCTTTGAATGCGAGGAGCAGAAATATCTCTAATGGGAGACACTGATCAAACTTATGGACCATTTTGATGTCAGCTGAGCACACTGGGCTGATGATAAGCAGGATGGAAGCTGGGGACTCCATCGCACTGGGACAGAGATGTTCAATAGAAGTCTGTGGAATGGCTGTCAGCAGAGCTTATAATTATTTGCCTGCCTTTCAGGTGAACTTCAGGACTAAAAGTTGTTAGCTAGTGGTTTCTAGTTGATTGTCTGGAGACTGCTTGATGATCGCCACTATTTTTTTGAGTTGACAGAACTTTTCAGAGAGCTCTAAGAATGGTCCAACCCTGTCTTTCTCAGCTAATTAACCTCCCCTTGTCAAAATGCAAGGCAAGATTTTTTTTCTAGACAGTTATAATAAGCTGGGTTTTTTTTTTTCCCCAAAAGTTCATGACATGTCGGTCCTCCTTGTAAAAGCCTTGGTACACTTAAGCCTCTATCTTCAGAGGGAGTGATAAAGCTGGTTCCTAGGGAAACTGGCTTCTCTGGCAGGCTCCTGGTATGCTTGTCCTTGTCCTTGTTCATCCCTGGCAAAGACCCATTCCCTGACTACACCCAACCCCCATGTTCAGCATAAACCTGCATGCCCCCCTTCCTTACTGATAATCCCTGCAGCAGTAGTTGTGTGGGGGGTTGTGGTTGGAAAAAAAGGTTGAGACCCTGTCAAGAATTTACCTGGCATAGAGAGTTTTGGAAATGTGTGTGTGTGTGTGTGTGTGTGTGTGTATCCTGCATCTCTTCAACTCTGCAAATCTGTGCTCTCCCCTGGAAATTTTCAGAAAGAGACCCTTCAGACTGTTCCACAGGTGAGCTAAGGTCTGGCCTTTAGATGAGATCATTGAACTCTTGTGGACTCAGTGGACTGCCAAGAGTTACTCTGGAAGGCAGCATTAGTAATAAAAAGCTGTTAATTGTTCTGGGATCCCCTTGGGGAAGTTCAAAGGGGACCAAAAAACAAACAAACAAAACACAAACCTCAGGATCTTTCAAACTTGTCATTTTAAAATATGCAGCCCACCAAAGTGTGAGCCTGAATATCTTAAAGAAACCAAATATTTTAAAATGACTTTCCTGCAAGTGGGTAGCTGCAAAACTTTTAAAAATGCACAAAACCTTCAAACTCATACACTGTTCTGTTTTTAACTGTTAAAACTCATACACTGTTCCATTTTGAAATATGTTAATTATACAATTCTCCCAGGTGAAGAGAATGTGAATTTGCATTTGAGAGAATGTGAATTTGCATTATATATTTTTACACTAATTCATATTCTTGATATTTTCTTTATTACTATTGAAAGGAATTGGGTTGGAGGTTGGGCTGAAGGTGAAGAAAAGAAAAGAAGAAGGAAAGAGAAAATGACATTTACTAATCACCTACCATGTGCTAGGGACTTGGTTTACATTTACACACAATTTAACTTTTTTTGGTAATTTTTCATTCTTTAGAATTTTTTAAAAAAGATTTATTTATTTATGCATACAAGAACTGGGACAGGTCAGAGGTGTGGGGGTGAGAGGATTCACCAGAGACAGAGCGGGATACAGCACAGGCAGATTGACTGAAATACGCTGCTGAGGGGAGCAGTGGGTGAACCAGGAGTGGTCTGCTCCACCACGTGGTAGCTCCCTGGCCGGGGATCGAACTCATGATGCAGTGACTGGAGATAGCTCAATAGTGCTGTTTTTAACCCCTGTGCCACTAGAATATTTACTAGAATATTTAAAATGTAACTTTAATTGAGGTAACATTAGAATATCCTCTCTGATATCACCACCGTAGTACACCCAGCATTAAATGACCCATATAACACCACTATAGTCCATTGCGCTTCCTTTCTTTATTCCTACCCCTCCTTTAACCCTCCCTTCTCTACGCTCCCACCCACTCCCCCATTTCAGTTCTTTTTAAAGATAACCCAGTGAAGAAATTTATCCCTGTTTGACAGATGAAGAAGCAGATTTAAAGAGAGTTCATGTCCACTAGGTTCGGGTTCAGGATTCTCATCACTTCTTTTTTTCCTTTTTTTTGATGTTGTGGCAGCAATGCTTTCTTTTAAGGCAGCACTTCTCTTTTTCAGAAAAAGGAGAATCCTCCTTTTGGTACAGGGGACTGAGAGAGTGACCGTGCCCAACAGGTGGAGACACGGCTAAACACTAAGTGTCCCGTGGAACGTGGCCCCTTGAGGTTATTTCTATGCTCCTGTTCCCTTATGCATTGGGCTCCACTGGGTCCCCTCTAAGCGCTCTTTGGACAAAGCCAATTGCTGTCACTCCAGTTGCCAAAAAGCTCATCTCCCGACTTATTACTGATGTTGAACTTATTTTGATTTTCAGTTGTTTTCCAATTTCACCGGCTCCAAGGATGACCACGGGAACTGCCAATGCTCCGTTACCCTCCCGGACACCACCTTCCCCGTGGAGAGAGTGGAGCGCTTGGAATTCACAGCTCAAGTTCTCTCCGAGAAGTTCCAGAAAGAGCTTTCTAAATTAAGTATTTTCTTTTATATCCTCCACCCCACCATTTCTTCAAACACTGCCTTGATAAGAACAAACTAACAAAGAAACAAAAGAAAATACTCTTTATTCAGGACTTTATAAACAGCTGTTCTTCACTGCTATCAAAGACAGCATGTTTATATCCTATGGAGATGTTCGCGCTTATTTTGCACCTATGGAGTTCTTTATAGCTGGAAAAATAAAGCATAGGGAGGAAACGGGTTCGGGATTATGGGCACCGTGGATAAGTCACTTCAATATCGTTGGGCTCATGCTGTTGGAAAGAAACCTTGAGCTTCCCTGCTAAGCCCAACCCTGCCACTTAACTTTTATTTCATATCTTCTTCCTTTTGGTATTCCTCTTGGTTTTCCCTCCAGTTTTGCTCCTTATCCTGTCCTTTTCTCTCTCCTCTTCATGTTCTGTCTTTTCTTTAACTTTTCTTGACCCAGTCCTGCTCCCCACTGCTTCTTATTTCTCCCCTTGCCTCAAGTCTTTTCCTTGTCCATACCTCCTAAGCTTTCTGTCCCTTTCCTTCTTAATTCCTTCCCTCCCACCCCCCCACCCCCCCGCCACACTTTGTTGGTCTCTTATTTTGGAAGGCCCCCTCCTCTCTTCTACCTTCTCCTCCATTCCCCCAAACCTTCTGCCTCTTTTCCTTCATTCCTACCTCCTTTCCTTTGTTTTCTCTTTCCAATTTAGTCTCTGCCTTATCTCTCTCTTTCTTGGTGGTTTTCCTCTATTTTCTCAGTTAGTATGTTACGTTTGATGTGCCTTACATAGACCCAAATCAAAATTCCCTGGGAATTTGAATCAAGACTAATAGGTGATAGGCTGTCACTAAAAATCCTAACTCGAACCCCTGACAACCACTTTTCTGTAGCCAGAGTAGGTTTTCTTATAAGGTTTGTTTTCTCCAGAGCTGACTGGAGAAGTGTGACTTGATATTCCAGTTTTGACCCTTCTACCCTTTTAGCCAGGTTTAAAATCAGCTGGAAAGGCTCCCGTTTTCTGCACAGGTAAAGTCCAAGCTGTAATCACATTATGCATTATTTACTATGACTCCATTAATTTACAAGGAGGTCTGGCTTTCCTGCAAGATTCAAAATAAGTTTTCTCGAGAAAGTTAAACTTAGCTACCTCAACATTCAACATGGTTGCCCTTTAAGACAAAAATTGTGGTGAGGCTGAGACCCTACTTTCAACCTAAATTGGCAGATAAATATTCTAAGTTTAAATGAGTGTCCAGGAAAATATGTTTGACTACTCCAGGAATTTAGCTTCTTTAGAAATGAAATGTCCTTGAATTAATCAGCAGAAAAGGCACAGCACTAAATTATAAATTCCAGCCATTAATATTCATAGCCTTATTCTAGCATAATCAAGTACAGATAAGAAGTTATGCATAAAAACATAACAAGTGGAGGAAAATCCTAGGTAAAGATCTTTTCAGTTAGAGTCATTTGCTTTGAAAGAGTGGAAGCTACTGATTTGCATGTCTTCTTTGCTGGCAGGAGTGTGAAGGGCAGTTTGAAACCCCGTGATGCCCCAGGGAGACTTAGTAGCTTGCCAGGCTAGTGAGTATGGGACATTTCATCCCAGTCCTGGAAGGGGGGCAGGTGGCATCTGCCTTGCAAATAATTGGCAGGAAAGAAGTGCGGAGCAGGTGGGAAAACTTAGTTCTGAAGATGTTGGGTAGCTTGTCCTACAAAAATTAATGATTGAGGCCTAAGAAAGGAATTGACCTGCCAGCTGAGATTTGCATAATAGATTCAGTGTGACTTGATTAAAAAAAACCAAAACAGTGATAGTAACAGCTTCCCTTTGTGCTTTTCTAAACGCTTCCATTTCCATTTACTCGCAAGCAGCTCCTTAACGTAGTTTGGCCAATTGTTCTCCTTCCCATTTTAGGGTTAGAAAAACTGAGATGCATAAAGGTCAAGAGACATAAGTGTAAAAGGTCATTTCTCTCTTGTCTGGTTACACCAGGTCAGGAATTTCAGTCTTCAGAATCATCCAGTTCTCTTTTCTCTTTGCCAGCCTATTTTCATCCTTTAGATGAACCCAGGAAGAGATGCAGTAGGTCAGTAATACCTTCAAATCTGAAGTTGTCTCTTCAGCTGAGGTCTTTTGGACTTCCAGGTGAATTATTATAGCTGTCCCTAGGTTGCCTGGGAAATCACCGTTTATCTAGAGGCCTGAGGGAATGCCTGTTTGGACAGGCCAGTAGAAAAGGGTTTTGACTGCCTTACATTGATTCATTATCTGTCAGTACACGGAGAAGACTGGGAGCTGTCTCTGCATAAAATGCTGAAAGTATTTTATACTTTCCTGTTGTTTATGATATGGCCTCTTGTGACTATACTTAGGTAGGGGATGGTGCAAAAGTTATCTCAGGATTTTCCTCCTCTGGAGGGTTATGGGCTTTGGGGGAAATTATTTAATATGACACATTTGCTAATAGATCCTCATGCATGAGAAGGTTGAGTCAGCCTGAGAGACATTTAGGCAACTCATAAACAAACGTTGATTGAGCAATGTTTTGTGCAGTGAAATATAATAAATTAAAAGGTCAGATTGAAAAAAAAACCAAAGTCACTGCTACTCTAATAATTGCTGCAATTTATAGGGCATCCATTATGTTAGGCATTTAATACACATTATCTCTAGACTTTATAATAATCTTGTAAGCTCGATATTATTACCCCCAGTTGACAGAAAGAAACCAAAGCTTAGAGAAATTAAATGATTTGCCCACTGATTACTGGGGTCTGTCTGAGCTTAGGTGGGTCTAACTCTGAAGTGTTTTATATCTCATGGTAGTCAGTTCAAACTCAGTTAATCTGATTGCATTTATTTTTAAAGATACATTAAAACAGTAGTAAGCTGAAAAGTACATTTACTTATTTCAAATAGCCATCATCACAAGATACTGTCACAAACACGAACCAGAGTAATTCTTTAGTTTAATATCAACTGCACTGTATCCTTCTTTATTACAAAACCACATTTATTACACAGAGCAACACCAAATACCCCAGAACAGATCCCTCAACAAACTTTGATTCTTAGAACCCATCTATGACATATTAAGTGCACAACAAATAAAAGAATGGCAATTCTGCATGTTGGTTAAACTGGTGCTTTGAAGACAAACATGAATGTGTTTTTCAAAGCTCAACTTATAGTGAGAAGTAGCACCAGAGTAAAGATTTGACACAAGGCTGTATCCTCTTAGGGCTAGACCCATTTCTTGCTACACATTCATGGGTAAGCTGGCTACCTCTGCTGGAACTGCAGCTTCTATACAGAGTTTGGAGGTTCTCAGAATTGTTCCCATCATCTCAACATTACAGATCTGAGGGGTTTGTGCTAACAATCCACTTAACTTCGTTAAGTTCACACTTGCTTTCTGGCCTATCTTCAGATTCTCCTTGATCTTGTATAATTTCTTGGATGATTCCAGTTTTCCTGAACATCACTGAGCTTTCCTTTAAATGTTAGCTGAAAGAACCTCAAGTTTTTCCCCAAAAGATCTTTAGAGAGGCTTCATTTTGTGGCTGAACTAGGGCAGGCACACCACATGTTCTCACAGGGAGCAAACTCCATGTTATGCCGTGGTTTTCAGTGAGAATCTGGGAGAGCCACGTTTTATTTATCAGAGATGACAGTTGAATTACTCATTTTTGTAGAACAACAGCTGCGATGTGCCACCAAAATGTTCCAGGAAAACTGAGGGTGTTTCATTTGTTCCAAAAGCTGGCAGGCAAGGCCAAATGCCAACAAGAATATTCATTTTGCAAACTTCCATTCCTGCAATGGATTGGCAGGTTATTATTATACTTATATCACAGGCAAGATTTTATGCTTGATAATTGTAGAAATTGAAATTTTTCTACCTCATATCTGTGTTTGTACTTTCAAGGGGGCTTGTTGTTTATGTGTATGTGTTTTTAACCTCCTTATCCACCAAAATGTCACCAGCCTCATCAGCTTCCAAGTGATGGTGTGTCTGGTGGCAGGGAGCATCAGTTGCCTGAGGAGATACAGTAGCAGTGCCAACGGCTGCATTATCAACTTTCATTAGAATCCTCTTTGCCTGAAGCCTTAGCCCTTAGGTCTGCGACCTAAGAGTCTATTCTGATTTGCACAGTGGGGTTAAGTGGAAGGGCTAAAAATGACAGAAGTTAGGGCGCCTTTGGTATTAGAAGGATTAGAGGCCAACATCTGGCTCTGAATTCATCCGGGTGCTGTGGATCCGCTACTTGACATTAGTATGGTTTTGGGGAAATGTATTACTTCTGTTCACATTTCTAAAAAATAATGTAAAACCAGCAATTTTTAATGAGCAGGTCCTTAAAAAAAGCCATGGCATTTCCTTTAGAGATCAGATACAGAAAGAACCACCAACTGTGTTTATTGAAATATCCATTTGGAGATTCCAATTATACACTAAACCACCAAGGGAATTTTTGGAAGTATTTTAACTTAATGATCAGACATTCAAATATATGCAACAAATGTGTAATTTAAAGGTCTGATTGCAATAATCAGTTCTCGGAATAGGTGTGGGTGCACTTAATGAAATGTGTACTTTATAATTGCACATACACTCACATATTGTAAGTTGAGTTTTTAAGCCACTATGTAAAAGGCAGAGGAGCTCAACATTCATTGTACACGTAGTGCATTTCTCCCTCCTCTAGAAAATAATGAGATTTAGAGCAGTGGTTCTAAACATAGGAAGGGTGGTGGAGGTGGTGATTTTGCCCTCAGGAAACACTTAGCAATGTCTGGGGACATTTTTGGTTGTCAAAACTCAGGGGTGGGTGAGTATTGCTACTGGTATCTAGGGGCTGCTGCTTCAACATCCAACAATACACAAGACAGCCTCTGACCAAAAAAAAAAAAAAAAAAAAGAAGAAGATAGCTCAAAATGTCAATTGTGCTCAGATTGGGAAACCCTGATTTAGAGCATGTGCATTGAGGGGAGCTGCAAGGGCAAAGAGATTCTGAATCCAACCAGCTAGTTTAGAGAGCTGATGTCTTCAAATATTAAGATAGAGAGGAAAATGTACTTGCAAATGATGATTCTGAAGCAAAATGATTTCTAGTCCAAGCAAGTACAAAACCCCCTATTTTAGTAATATCTTTTCTAAAGGTTGTATTTGGATAGATTTTTTTACAAAGTCTAGTTAAATACATTTCGATCCAGCTTTTTAGTTTCTTACTACTTTGTTAATTTTTGGACAGCATTTGAATTCTCCCCTCAGGTGTAGTCTGCATAGTTCTCCCACCACCACAGCACCGTGATCCATCACCATAGTCCCTTATGCTCTTCCCTCCCCTGTTTTGACCTCCCTCCCTCCCTCTCCTTGCTGTCAGATTGCAAACGTTATCTTTTTCCTTATCCTTTGTTTGGTTTCTCTCGATTCCACATACAAATGAAATTGTTTGATCTAGTTCTTTAAAAAAAAAATGACAGCAATCAAATAGTACCCAAAGGGTTGGCAGTGGAGGAAGACAGTATGCTATTATTCTGGGAATTGACTTGAGCCTTTTGATTCCCTTTCAGGTGAGGGAATATGTCCAATTAATCAGTGTGTATGAAAAGAAACTCTTAAACCTAACTGTCCGAGTAGAGATCATGGAAAAGGATACGATTTCTTTCACTGAACTGGACTTCACAATGATCAAGTTAGAAGTGAAGGAGATGGAGAAACTGATCATACAGCTGAAGGAGAATTTTGTTGGTAGCACAGAGATTGTTGATCAAATGGAAGTGGAGGTAAGGAGCAAACACACCCTCACTGCATTGACAATAAAGTCTCCTCAGGAAGCAAGGACGAGGACAGTTTCTCTTCTGATGTTGAGTTCTGTCCTCTCGTGAGCACGTGGCATAGCCCACCCTCAGCTTTGGGAGGATGCCTGCCTTGAGTAGTAAGGTAAAGCACATTGAGAACCTATGTCCTGAGATGCAGGCATCACCAAATGGTCAGAGTCCTGTTCCAGAACTGAATGGCATTTCTGTGTCTCAAGAAGGAGATGGCATAAATCTGTACAGCTCCCCCAGCAAGGCCCAGCAGGCAATTCTGTTAGGAGTCATCCTCCTGGATAATTATCCTACCTGATCACGAGCTTGTTCGGTCTGTTTCTCCTTTTGAATGAGTATGTAGTACTTAATCCTTCTTGGAACTCTTTTCCACAGCCCTCTTTAAAGAAATTTCTTGTGAGTATGTCTCAGTGAAGCCTTTTAATCTTTGTAGATAAAGACCATCGTATTAATGTTATGGTTGGGTAATTTATATCAACGAGAATTTACTAGCTCAGTCGTGACATGGGTTATAATGAAGAAGTCTAGTTAGGTATTTTAGAATTTTAAGTTTTCTCTGGCCCTCATCATTCATTAAAAACAATTATAATGCAACATGAGGAAACATGAGTTCATAGGGAGAGGTTATGAGAAATGAACCGGAAGGGACATTTGTGGGTGCTTCGGATGAATCTGTGCTCTGTTATTAAAGCTCTTAAAATCTTTGCCATTTTCTTCTTGTCACACACATCTGCCTGAGCTCTGACAGGCATTCACACTAAACCATAAAATGTATTCTTCCAAATGAAACCATTCAGGAGAATCTCGGGTGTATTCTCTAGCAATGTTTCACTAAGTGACAAAATTCAGCTCTGGAATGTTTATGAAAGAAATTGTGCAATAATATAAAGTCACTCTGAATTTTTATTTCCTTAGATAAGGAATATGACTCTCCTGGTAGAGAAGCTCGAGACGCTAGACAAAAACAATGTTCTTGCCATTCGCCGAGAAATCATGATTCTGAAGAACAAGCTAAAGGAATGTGAGGCCTCCAAAGGTGAAAATGCTCCTGTCTCTCCCTCTCTTCCTGAGCCAGGTGAGATTGCCATATGCTGAGCTTTTACCCCTTGAGGGCCAAGAATGGGGTGGAGGATGGGGTGCAGGTCTGCAATGGTAGGGGAAATGTGGGGCTTGTGCAATTCTGAGCTTACTTTACTAGGTTTTGAAATCTCCTCCTTAGTGGGTCTGCAAATTGTCCCATTCTGGGGCTCACAAAGGAAGGAACAATGAGTTGATGTAAAAGAAAATCTGCATATGTATGTATTCTCTGTATATTAGCCAGAAATACACCTCTCTGGTGATGGTGCTGCTCTCAGGGGGCTGGTGAAAGTCTCTGGAATCCACGAGGCATCCATCTGCACTGCCCTGTGGCTTGTGAAGGCTGATTGGCTCATTTGTCTGATGAGCTGGGGTTATGCCTTTAATCTTCCTTTCTTCCTCTCCAGACCCTCACCTCCCACCTCTTTATTTCCCTCTATACTTTCCTTAAATGCATGTTGAGTTCTTGCTATCTAGTGTGTCCTGGGAGTCAGTGAGGATTAAAGGCATGGCCCCACATAACCAGTACTCTGGGTGTGTCTTGTTCTCCCTCCTGGAGTGTCTGGTGGGCACCTCTCTCGCTAATGAATCATGTTGGGGTTAAGTATAACATAAAGGTGGGTGCTCTGGAAATACCTCGTGAATGGAGGCAGTGGAGTGTAGGGGTCAGGAACATGACTTTAAGACCCCAAAGATCCGAGCTTCCCAGCTAAGTGTTCACTGTGGAAAGAGATCCTTAATCTTCTTATTTGTAAGAAGGGTAGAATAATAGTACCTACCTGTCAGGGTTGCAATGAGGGCAAATGAAACAAGGCTTGGGAAGCTCAGAGCTCTGTGATTGATGTTGCACACCGGTGATTGTTATTAGTATTGATGATAATTGCAGTGAAAACCTTGCTGTGAATAGCGCAGTGCTCAGTCTGTGTTCCCTCCGGGTAAACTGAAGCCAGCCCCTCAGCCCTGCATTCAGCTCTGTCCTTTTGAGACCTCAGTGTCACCGGGACGCTCTCTCGCAGGATGTGAGCATCTCAGCCTGAATAGAGTCCAAATCTTTTCATCAAATCATACAGCTCTTGTTATTCCCATTAATTGCTATGGCTCACAACCTGTTTCCTTTTATTCAGTGTATTTCTGGATTCCTGTCAGGTTAGCTGGTTTGTTTAAGGCTTTAATTAGAATACTGCCATAGTTAGGAGCCTCTTGATGTTGTTCAGGGGACTCTTTTCCCTTCCTCTGCAGTAGGGAATCTGCCATAATGTGACATACAGAGGAGTTTGAGGGCAAAGGCCAGGCTCTGTCCGCTGTAACAAACTAAGGCTAAATCGGGTCTGGGAACAGCCATGTGAACATACATGGGAAGTGAGAGGCACGGAGGCCCTTGAGGGCAGGAGTTGAAGCAGTAACAACCCCTGCTAATACCCGGGCAAGTCTTTTTTTCTTGCTTTTCTTTTTTAACCTCCATAAATCTTCCTCATGGAATAGATTTTTCTGCCTGTTTTTATTCATCCCTAGGAATAAGGATATTTTAGAGCAGGAAGGGAAATTCAGCACCATCTAGCTCAGGCCCACCATGTCTCAGAGGAGGGGACTTAGGTGGTGGGGGTGCTGCTTTTCCTGAGATAACTTTTCTTGAGCCACACAGGTGGCTCATGAAAGCTGAGGCAAGAATCAAGGTGCCTCTCTCTGGTCATCTCAGGACCTGGGCGTTAGGTGTCAGTAACCAAGGAAGGTGTGGCAGGAAGGAGCATGCTGCTTAGTATATAGGCTGGGAGACAAGGGAGTTGGTCCAATTATTTTTGTTAGAATTTTTTTTCTAGACCTTTCCCCTAGGTCTTCACACTTAGACTTTGGTGAGCCATCCCAGCCCAACTGTGTTGTTTAAGCAAATCGAACCCAGATTTCCTCTCACTTTCTCACAACCTTGGCTGTACCTGGATCCCTGCCAAGCCACTTGGCTCTCCTCCAGCTTTGTTCATATTATATTTATGATGTTTATATTAAACTGACTTTTGTCATGTTTTTAAATCAATTTCTTTCACTTACTCTCTTTCTGTTTGGGTTGGTTGATAATGCAGAATTGAAAAATCCCCAGGCACCACCAAGTTGTGGGCCTGTGGAGACTTTAATTAAAGTTACTCACTATTATGGGACTTTAAAATCTGCCTGTCTGCTTTTTTCACTGCAGAGATGCACAGAACAAAAAAGACTGTATGCAAGTCTCAGCCAAAAAGTAATTCTGCACTCTCTGGGTCTTTCTCGTACAGCTGCATTGTGTTAGCCCTGTGGTCAGCTTGCTCTTAGAACCAGAACGTGTAGTTAGAATTCAATAAAATGTGTTTTATATTTGGTTTATGCTGTAAATGGCATCCTTTTCTGCTCCATTTCATAGAACTTGCTAATCTAAAATAATCGGCCTTATGTTCATTAACTTTTTTCTCCCCTGAAAACAACTGACTTCACTCTGTCTTTAGTTTTCCCCTGAATGTAAATAACTATGTATAGGCAAAATGTGACAGAAACGCTCAGAGATCAGCCACCATTGTGCTTGGAGATGCTCAGCTCTGATTAGTTAGCACATAGTAGGTGCTCAGCATATAACTGATAATTAAATACTGTATGAAAGGTATTGGGTGACCCACCAAAATCCCAAGCCTAGAGAAGAACAGAGTACATCTGATAATTCAGAGTCAATTTAGTCTTAATCATTTTATGATGATAACCATTTTAATTGTCCAATTCTCACAAGTCAATTATATTCTTCGGTTGGCTCAAAGGTCAGTTGCCCAGGTGAGAGATTGCATTACAGAGCCAAGATTAAGTTTCCCCTGCAAGCATATAATGACTGACTTTTTTTTAAAATGCTACACGATACTTTTAAAAGTCCAAGTTAGAATATTTTAAAGTCTCACCGTGTGGCTTTTCAGGATATTTTCTGAATACCATGGCAATATCTAATGAATTGCATCATGAAGAAATTGCCAAGCAAGACAACAATTTGTATAAAGAGTTCTCTGCATTATGTTCTGTAGCATAAATACTGGGCTCTTTGAAAAATTCAGATATGTGGCAGGGTAGAGGACTAGTGTTTTACAAATAAGGGTTAGTCTTGCATTCCTTTGTTCTACAGCATCATTTGGTGCTACTGTATGGCTGGCCCTATTCTGAGTACTGGGGTTATCAAGATGGGTGCAGAAACTTCTGAAACCAATATGCAGGAAGTAAGATAGTTGCATAAACCTTCAATTGTAGCATGATGTGTGTTTATAATGCTGATATAGCTCAATGTATATTGAGTTACATGTACTTGCCTTCCTCTCTTCTTTCTAATAATCCTGCAGAATAGGTAGTATTGTTTTTCTTTTAAAATGAAGAAGCTGAGGCTCAGAGGATTCAAGGATACACAACTAGCAAGCATTGGAGTCAGGATTTGAATTTCAATCTGATTGACGATATTTTCACTGTAGCAGGCTGCCTTCCTTAGATGGTCTAGCAGAGACGTGCACCTGTGATTCCTGGAGTGACAAGAAAGTTCCAACAACTCACAGGGCTGATGAATGCCAAATTATCTTTGCTTCTTTGCTTGTGGAAAAGCTAAAAGGGCACTTTTGCTGTCAGTTCTATGCTGTGTTCTCTTCTACCAGAAAATGCAGCATGATTCTTTGGTAGTTTACAGTTCTTGGATCATAGCTGGGCAATGGGTTGTTGTTCCTGTGGCTGGGGAAAGTTGGGATAGGATGAGTTAGGAAGGGAACGGGGTATTGCTAAGATAGGGAAATAAAGGCTGCAGCTGGGAAGGGGCGTGGGATAAGAGAGGGTAGGGAGAAGCTCAGTGAACACGGAGTTAGGATGACTGTGGCTGGGCTAGATGAACAGTGGGCACTGGGCTGGCTGTGAAGTTTCAATGGTTTGTTGCCAGGATTTGGGGACGCCTGTCATAGCCTTTTCACTGGTCTGTCACTGCTGTAGCCACATCTGTAATATTGGCAGCAATACTTAGGTCTTTTTCTCTATTTCCACGTCTTTTGACCATAGCCAGGCCCCTAAAAGTGGCCCAGAGGAGATAGAGTATAATGGGGGAATAACAGAAAGGACAGAAAAGGGCCTTCGTGGTGCAGGGTTAAAGTCTTAGTGCTATCAAGCTATCGCCAGCCTCTGCAGCATGAGTTCGATCCCTGGCCAGGGAGATGACCCACATGGCGCAGCAGATCTCTCCTGTCTTGCCTGCTACTCCCCTCAGCAGTATATTTCAGGAGCGCTGCCTGTTCTGCTCCCCACTCTGTCTTTGGTGAAGCCTCTCACTGCCCCCGCCCCCCGCACCTCTGAGCTACACCCCAGTTCTTCTGTGCATAAATAAATAAAAATAAATATTAAAAAAAAAAGGACAGAAGAGCGTTTAGGAATGAATGCTTGGGAGGTGAGGAAAAGAGATGTAAGTTTCATGCAATTTTAGTATTTATACCAAGTACAATTTCAATTTCCAGGTCAATTTTTGAAATGATGTACCATTATTGTTGTTATTTTCTATTAATAGTAGTAGTAATTTTTAAGAGTGCATTTTGATTTCTTCATATCTAAGGGTTTCCATATCTAGGACAGAATGATTTATTATCTTTAGTCCCCTGATAATGCTTGAATCAGTTATATGCTTCCTAAGTTTTCCTTAAATATTCTGTTATTGTTGGTTTGGACATTTCCTTTGTGGAGGGCAAGATTCAATTAAACAAATAATTCATAAGTATTCCATCCTGCAAAAAAAGAAGGACTTTTTTTCATATCCTTAGAGTGAAATGTAGTTGAATAAATAAATCCTCGGAAAGATGTTTTAACTAGAAAATCCAGTTTGTAGCATATAGAAACTCGAGTGGTTTTTTGTTATCATTAAACTGAACACACGGCTAACTTTATTTTAATAATTCATGCATTGTTTCATAAACAAAAGCAAACAAGCATTCATCTGAGAGATCACTTTTAGGAGAAGAAATAATAATTTATAATTTTATTTATTATTTCTTTAGTGGAGAGCAGTCTCTTGGCTGAACACACGTTGCTTTTTTATTTATGAAATGGTGCATGCATTATTAAAATAAACCCGCGACTGTGTTCTGCTTAATGATATGCAAAATTATTTGAGGTTGGGTACAGAGTGGTTTCATTTCTCTACCTGTTGTATGGTTGGCTGACTTTCCCACCAACTGCGGATTTATGAGAGCATTTAAGGAGCACGCATTTAATTCTGCGATCAAAAAGTCCCAGCAGATTGGAAAAATAAAAGCAGGATTTCTAGTAATGGTTTCACCTCTGAGCAGTCCTTGAGTGAGGGGAGGAGACGGAGGAGATATTTAGGAAGGAAAGGAACCGGTCTTTCCATATTGGTCAGAGGCAGAGGCTCAGGCAAGAGCTTTGTACCCCCACCCTCAAATGCTAATCTCAGGCAATTCTTTGGAGTTCTGCTTTTGGCTCCAGCTCATCTCATGTGTGCTCTATAGCCACCTGATTCTCTGCAAACATTTTTTCCAAAGATTTATTTATTTATGCATACAAGGGCTGGGGTGCAGGCCAAATATGAGGTGGTGGTGGGGGGGAGAAGATTCACCAGAGACAGAGTGGGGAGCAGAACAGGCAGTGCTCCTGAAATACACTGCTGAGGGGAGCAGCGGCCATGACAGGAGAGATCTGCTGTGCCATGGGGTCACCTCCCTGGCTGGGGATTCAACTCATGCTTCAGTGACTGTGGATAGCTTCATAGTGCTGCGTTTCAACCCCTTGTGCCACCAGGGAGGCCCTCTACAAGCATTTAAAGTAGATCCAGGGCCTCCCTGGTGGCGCAAGGGGTTAAGATGCAACCTATGAAGCTGTATGCAGCCACTGCAGCACAAGTTCTATCCCCAGCCAGGGAGTTACCCACATGGCGCAGCAGACCTCTCCTGTCTCACTCGCTGCTCCCCTCAGCAGTGCATTTCAGTCGATCCTCCTGTTCAGTTCCCCACTCTGTCTCTGGTGAATCCTCTCCCCTGTACCTCTGGCCTGTACCCCAGTTTCTGTATGCATAAATAAATAAATCTTAAAAAAAATAAAGTAGATCCAGCAATTCATTTTCTGTTCCCTCCTTCCCTCACCTGCTTGCTCCAGGCAGCAGAAAGAGGAAAAATGACCTCAATGTACTTGAAGTTGGATTTTCTTTGTTATCTAAAAAACTATCAGTTTTTTAAGGGCATGTATTAAGATCTCAGAAAATATGTGTTCAAATCTTTGGATAGTTATAAAAAGTACTGGAACAATTAATTTTATTTCTCATTGCTCATAAAAGAGTTAGGTTGGCAGGCATTTCAGAGGGAATGCAAGTCCCTCTGCCTAAGTCATTCCTCCAAAGGTTACAGGGAAGTTAGCCTGCTGCCACTCGATTATACATTGCAACAATGACAGGATCATGATGGGAAAGAAGAAGTACTTGCCCGTCATTTGGTGGCACAGTTGAATATGAGTTATGAGCAGCAAGACCCACCTTGTAACTGCAGCAAGATAATCATTAAGTGATCTATGTGATGGGCTATACTTTGGGCACAGAGCAGGCAATGTTGCCCTAAAATAATGTCCATCGCTTCTCAAGGCTGAAATCCCATCATTATAGTACCATCTTTCTGAATCACTGAAATACTTATTTCAGACGTTCACTTCTGAGGTTGTCTGAGTCAGCACTTATACTGGGTGTTGGAGATGTACTTGGGATCCTGGTGTGGAAGGGTAGAAGGACGAAGGGGCTGGAGACTTGTCAGGACGATCTCCTCCATCATAATTCTCCCTGATCCTGATGGGTATCACTCTCTGATTTCATAGAAAAAAGGTAGGATTCTGGGATGATCTAGATTTTTCTATGAAAAAAGTGACAAAATATTTGCAAAGTGCTTTCTGACAGAAAAAAAAAATGTATGAAATTTACCAAATCTTCTCTTCCTCTCTCTGGACTCTCAAAGTTTTTTAATGTGGCTCTTGGCAATTTCCAGATTGCAAACCCATCTATGGAGACAGAAGCCTAGAACTGACAGTGGGTTTTCATTGAGACTGAGATCCAGAGAAGGTTTTGGCTTTTTTCAAAAATGCTGTTATCATTGAACCTTGACAGGAAAAATATGAATTCCTTTGGTTCTTCAGATAGTTAACTGTTTGTATCTTATCACTCACTTTCTCTAAGAATGCCCTTTTTATTTTCTTCTTTGCATAGGGAGCTGTGGTCATGGAGTTGTGGTGAACATCAGCAAACCATTTGTGGTCCAGCTTAACTGGCGAGGATTTGCCTATAAGTATGGTGCCTGGGGTCGGGATTACTCTCCTCAGCATCCAGACCAAGGGCTGTATTGGGTGGCACCTTTGGAAACAAGTGGGAGATATTTTGATTATTACAGACTTTACAATTCACTGGATAATTTGCTATTGTACAAAAATTCCCATGAATATAGTATAAGATATGGTCAAGGTGGCGGCACAGCAGTTTACAACAAAAACATGTACGTCAACTGGTACAACACCCGGAACATCGCCAGAGTTAACCTGACCACCAACAGAGTTGAAGTGACTCAAACACTCCCTGATGCTGCCTATAATAATCGCTTTTCATATGCTAATGTCGTTTGGCAAGATATTGACTTAGCTGTGGATGAGAATGGATTGTGGGTGATTTATTCAACTGAAGCCAACAATGGTAACATAGTGATTAGTAAACTCAATGACACCACTCTGGCCGTGCTAAATACTTGGCAAACCAGTCAGTATAAGCCATCTGTTTCTAACGCCTTCATGGTATGTGGGGTGCTCTATGCCACCCGTATTCTGAACACCAGAACAGATGAGATCTTCTACTACTATGACACAAACACAGGGCAGGAGGGCAGATTGAACGTAGTCTTTCATAAGGTGCAGGAAACGGTGCAGAGCATGAACTATCACCCTTATGATCAGAAACTTTTTGTCTACAATGATGGCTACCTTCTGAATTATGATCTTATCTTTGGCAAGTAACTCCACTAAGATGTCTAGTGGAGTCTAAGATGTCCAAGTAACTTTGGCAAGTAACTCCACTAAGATGTCTAGTGTTAGGGTGAGAGAGAAATAAAATGTTCATTGAAGAAAGGATCCTTTCCACTTATGTAGAGCAGCAGGGGAATCCTGAGGGGGGAATATTTAGGAGCAGAGGTTTCCCACACTAGGTTTTAGGATATTTGCCCTGATTTGATTTGCCCTGATTTCCCAGGATTTGCCTCCTGGAGTGCCTTCCCCTACTGAAATAGGTCTGGGGCATTATGTGTCCATGGATACTTTCAGCGAGGTGTCATCTGGAAATTAAGGACTTAAAGAGGACTCTGGATGGCTTCTGGGGTTCCTTGTACAGAAGAGGGACTCAATGATCAGTCCTCCATGTAACCTGTAGCCAGTCTTCCATGTCTGAATGAAACCTGATGTTTAACTAGGGAGATGCATACGAAGCTTCTTGAGGACTGAAATCTCTGACCTTTTTTTTTTTTAATTGGAACCTAAATTATGGTTTGTACAGAGCAGATAAGTTCAGCATGCTTATGTCTGTAAATTCTGTTTTCTGGAGAAGGGCTCTTTTATACATTACATTGTACTCTGCAGGTGGAGCACTTGATTTTTCTTTTTTTCCCATGGTCTACCTACACAAGTCAGGAGCACCCTCTGATACCAAGCCTTCCTTTCAAAGACAGCTCAGTAGACTAGACAAGACTCACCAACTTATTTCCCTCCCACTCCCTCCCATTCTTAAAGGAACAATTACAGGGTAAACAGATTTTTTTTTATCATGAATTTTATTTATAGGACTATACGACTGTAAGAAGATCAGTAGGCAGAGATAAAATAATACCATTTCTGGTTACATAATAAAGTCCTTGGAGCATATATGAGATGTGTGTTAAGTTGTATCAATTGGTTCATGCAACTTTTATTTTTTCCTAAGCTTGAAACTTATAAGAAAATGAAATTTTAATTTTTTTCAAGGATTAAATGGAGGAAAAATGTTGGCAATATCTAGTAAATCAAAACAGTTTGAACACCTCCCAGGTGTCTGTGTTCCTGTGCTGTTGGAGGCTTCATCATCTGGTCTCCATCTATTTTCCTTTGATGTTTGTGAGACCGAGTCTTTAGTATTGGCTCCTTAAATGCTGTACTGCCTGTTTTGATGAATGATTAAAATGCCTTTTGCAAAAAAGTGTCTTTTGCTGTGTTTACGATATTTTGAATTCTAAAAATAGGGTAGTCCACACCTTACTGTGAGCTCTACAGAATGGCTCCTTCCAAACAACAATGCCCAGGAGACCACACACCTAGCAACAGACATCAGTAGCTATAAAAGCATCCAAAGTCTGAGCTGGCTCTTTTGTTTTCATTTCCCTTAAAAATCCTTTCGTTCTGGCAGCTTTTGTTGTATTAGACTGCACTCTTTTCTTTTGAGAGAGGACCTTTTGTGCTTATTAATTTGCATGGCTGATCTGATTATTCCCAAAATTAGACTATATTTGTATGGTTTCTGTTCCTTTTCCAACTGAGCTATTAACTTGGGTCAGAAGACTCCAGATCTTCCCTAAACAGGAGATCTTGGACAGAAAGCAAAGGGACTAACTGGCTCAACTGAGAAGTACCTTCACAAAGGGGTGCTATGGGGACGGGCCACCTAGAGCTGGAAGGACAGTCTAGCCTAGTGTAGTTAGTTGTGCTGAAATACCTATTTTTAATCCATTACAAGTGTTTTGAGGCAGGTAATAGCTACCATAGTTATTTTTGGCAAGATTCTTTTTCTGTGTATTTCAGGACTGAGCATAGAAGCAGGAATGGCCTTCAAAATGCAGCAAGATATGAAGATAAAGACAGGTGTGTCATGTGAGATATAAGCTAAAAAACAGTGATGTTGTATTTAATCTAGCTGTAGGAAATTTTCTAGATGAATATTTCTACCAAATACACAGTATGACCTCTGAAGAGTCAGGAAAGGAGGCAGGAAGCCAAGGGAGCCCAGCAATCAACTTCTTGTTTAAACTGCTCCAGAAATATTTGTCTGAAAACTCCCTTCAGACCTTCTTCCCACTGGGTGAGGTGCATCAAGCTGCAGTGGTTGCTGCAGGAGTCTCCCTGCTGGGAAGGCCAAGTAACTGAGGATATTCAGGGTTGAGGGATTACTGCAGTACAGTCACACAATGGACATTTTTTGCTCAAAATTTATCAGCTAGCACCCTTTTGGAAAAAAAAAATTAGTGTATACCTATTTAAATACATTTTATTGAGATATAATTTACATGAGGCAGTATCTGCCAACCAATTTTAAGTATATAGCTAAATGAGTTTTGACAAGTATGAACAGTTGCGTTAAAGGCTGCCATAATTGGGATTGAAAACATTGCCCTCGCCCCCCAGAAGCTCTCATTTGCCCTTGTGTAGTCGACTTCTACCCACATGTCCTAAGTCCTGGCCACCACTGATCTGTTTTCTTTTCTATGGGATCTCAAAATAGGTAACCCTTTGAGTCCAGTTTCTTCAGGAATATTGTAAAAGAGAACCAGTAGGCTCTGATAACTGAGCATTGCCAGTGGTTCTCAGGGTTCCCTACATTTTAATCATTTGGGGCATGTTGGGAGAGGATTGTGAACAGCTGTGGTGACCTCCTGCCTTTAAAAGTCTTCCCTAGTGATTTGGAGTTACCAAGGGAGGGCGTTATCTCTGGACATCAATCAAGCCTACCTGATCGCACTTCCTGAACTTGAAAGTTCTGTTGCCACCAAGTCAGTGCTGGTTGTCTAGTCTCTAGCCCTGTGTCACAGGCATCTCTGCCCAGGAGAGTCTGGATCCTAATTAATGATGCTTGGTGGGTAAGAGCACAGGATCTGGAGTCAAGCAAAGTTGGATCTGACTCCTGGTTCTATTGCTTATGAGTGGTATGGCTTTTGGGAAAATACCTTAAGTTTTCTGAAACTTGATGTTTTATGATTAATGGGCTAAAATCACTTACCTCAGAGTCCTATTGGTGAACTGAAGAGTACTCAGCATATAGAGTTTGGTGTAGTCATGCTCTACCCTCAACAAAAAGTTCTTATCTCTGTTTCTCATTCTGAATTTTAGATTAAAAGTCATCATTGGGTTGCCAAGATAAAAAGCTAATGGCAATCAGAGTTTACATTTTCTCCCTTATAAAACTTATTGCAAATGGTGATTCAAGTAGGTGCCATCTTGACATGAAAACATTGCACCTCCTAAGTTTGGTTATTACAACTGATGTTCTCTGTGTTGTGACCCCAAAAGACAGATTGACATGAGCAGCAAAAACAGAGGCTGCTTCCTTTTCCATTTGACCCCTGAAAACATAAATGAAGGCTCACATTTATCACACCCTATGGAAGGGACCAAAATAAAGGCATATGTCCTACTTGCTTTGCTGTGACAACAGGAACACCAGTCTCCTCAGAGTAGGGATGGGTATATATTCTGTACTATACTTTTAGAAAAATATGTTTATTTTTCAAGATTTTCTTGTATTGCTAGCCATAAAAATGTACTGTTTCTATTCTTGAATCACTGAGAGGGAAATGACAATGGACAAACTGAGGGTGACTGTGACAGCCTTTAGGATGCTGTAGGGAGGTTCTGGGCCTGAGTCCTCTGTCATCCCAAACATGTCACACCATGAAGGATGATTGCCCTCCTATGCTCCAGAATGTTCCGGAACAACAAAAGGGTGAATCGTGACACATAGAAACTAAAAGGCAGGCATGTCTCTAAGGCATGCTCTCAGCCAGTGGAACAGACCAGCTGGCCTGGCTCATCAATGAGAGTTGCTATTTGAGCTGTCAGTTCAGTTGCCAGGCTTCACATCTGTAGCTGGGGATGTGCCTTCTTGTCTCTGAGATCTGCATCTGCTCCTGGAACTCATTCAAAGGGAACAGTCCTCGGAATTAAGGTTCATGGTGAAGTAAGGTGGTCTTCAGTATGTCCAGAGAAGGAGGCTTCTTGAGTGCTACCCCTGGATATTTTGGAAGCTGCAAGGATGGGTTCCCAGACCTCAGCCCCCTTGTGGAATATTGAAAGAAGACCGACAGTGTGTTTGAAGGATTCTAGTAAACCACTGGAGCTCAGTACATGTGGAGGGTGGTGGAGGATGAGGATGGAATGATGGACAGGGGCCAAGTTTTATATAACCTTAAAGAAATCTGATTCCTGGGGCCTCCCTGGTGGCTCAAGGGGCTAAGCACCACACTATGAAGAAATCCACAGCCTCTGCAGCACAAGTTCAATCCCCAGCCGGCCAGGGAGCAACCCACATGGCAAGGCAGACCTCTCCTGACTTGCCCACTGCTCCCCTCAGCAGTGTATTTTGGTCACTCTGCCTGTTCTGTTCCCCACTCTGTCTCTGGTGAATACTCTCACAACCCCCCCCCCCACATCTCTGGCCTGTACCCCAGCTCTTGTATGCATAAATAAATAAATCTTAAAAAAAAAATGAAATCTGATTCCTGAGTCTGACTCCAAGATTCTCTACCCTCCTCTCTTTTTAACTGCACTCTGTCAGCTGATGTATCCTTTTTGGTATGGCCTGTGATATTTTTATGTCACTACTAGTGACTCTCACTTTCTCCTTGATGGCTATTATCAGTCAGAGTTCAGTGCAAGAACAGAAACAACTTCTTTTAACTAGGATGTGTTAACTGCAATGTTAAATAAATGCCATAATCTCAGTGATTTGGCCCAATAACAAGTTTTCTCCTCCTCTGCTGCTTTCACCATTTGTCCCTGGTATTGCTTCTATAGCATCTTTCTTATCGCCAATGCTTTTTCTCCCCCTCATCTACCAGTGTGATTTTGTCTGGTGCCACTATGATGGAAGAGAGCTTCTCTTCCAGATGGTAATTTAGGGACCCAAGTTCATCCCATTTCACCTTGGGGCTCCACCATCTACACATATAGCTTCCAAGATCATGAGCTTCTCTGCATCAGACAAATACAAGTGAGACGTTCTTTATGGAGGCTGTTTAGCTTGCATCTCAAAGGGGTGGCCAACACTCATGTCCACCATCTGCTAGCTTAGTGTCACACCTAACTGTAAAGAAGCCTGGGAAGCAGATAGGCTACCTGGGTAGAGAGGAGAAAGAAATGGGTGGCTGAGCAGCCAGCCAGCGTGCCTTACCACTCTGGATATTGCTAGAACAGTCAAAGGCCAGTTGACTGTACTTATGTGATTCTATTTCTGGGCTCTTTATTCTATTCCACTGCTCTATTTGTCTTATCATTTTGCCAAAATCACATCTTGGTTAGTGTAGCTTTATATCAGTCTTGGATTTAGACTTACTATACTAATGTCAGTCTTCCAATGCTGTTCTTCAATATTGTGCTTACTACTCAGTGACTTTTGACTCTCCATATAAACTTTTGAATAACTTTTTTGATATCTGAAAAAATACCTTGCTGGGATGTTGGTTTGGATTGCTTTAAATCTGTTAGGAAAAACTGACGTCTTGACAATACTGAAGTTTCTTACATGTAAATATGGACTGTCCACTTATTTAGTTTCCCTTTGATTTTGTTCATCAGAATAATTTAGTTGTACTATGTAGATGTTGTACAAGTTTTGTTAGATTTATCCCTAATACAGAGAATTATGAAATCATTGAAAAAGCTAGAGACATGGCAACGGGAAGCTGCCATTTCGTGTTTGACTTTGAGGTCACACTGCTGTCAACCTCCCAATGGCCCTCAATTTCCATATCCCCGCCTCTGGTCTGTGCCTCTGGATACTTTGGATAGCAATTTGATACTTGCTGCAGTAGTTGGCACCTAAGACTTTTTTTACTTCTGTAGCTGGTTTAACAGCTATGTTAATGTAATGGCATCTGCTATTACCACTGGTGTCATCCCCACAACCTCCACATTGGCACATGGAGTCCATCTCCTGCCAACATGTACCTCTGCCAGTGTCCTCTTCTCTGCACACCTAGAATGTGCTCCACGTTTCAAAGCTAGCATTAGTGGAGCTCAAACCTAAATGAATGCAGAACTGTATCTACACAGGAGTCTGGGAAATGTAGTTTTTAACCTTCCTTCCCCGTGCTACAAGGAAAATGACACAGCTTCTGAAACAGTGACCTCTTCGGGTGCCCACTGCCTTCACCACTGCTGCTCCTGTTTGTGACAGAGACTTTCAGCAG